ATTTACAAACGAATTGAATCTAATCCTTAGTGCCATCTCAATTAAAATTTTGTGCACGTACAATAGCGTATCTATAGATCTAGGATCCTTGCAATTGCACAACCATTGCCAAAAGTTTTTAGCTGTATATTTACTATATACACTTTTTACTTTTAATAAAAATATTTTAGTATCGAATTGTGTAGATTGTTGTACTTAGGGCACACTGAAAAATCTATTATCCCAGGTTGTAGTTAGTCATCCGCAGCAAATATGGAATTCACGCGAAAAGATTTTAGGGCACCGATTTTTTATGATTTCAAAAGTTTAATCTCCGTTTAATTGCACTGATCGTAAGCACCTGAATCGAGCACCGTAAAGCGTTGATACGCTGTATTTGATGATGGCCATGTTTATTCCTACGATGTAATTCGTGAAGGTCGACCTCGCACCATGCAATTTGTTCATTTTGAATAAAACTATTATTTACGGATTTCATCGCGTTTAATTACTACTTTAATTTATTTTTATTATCCCGACGTTCGGGTGCTTCACAGCACCCACGGTCACGGGGGGACTGATATGTTTGACGTCCCAATATCATAGTTAGTCCGGCTACCTTCAGTTTTGAATATTAATTTTTGGTCCTATTTACGCAAAACGAGCTTATAGTATTATGAAGTCTTGCAGTGGTATGCTTGGGTTCGGGTTTAATTTTGTTAATTATAGGATCCCAAACAGATGGCAGCACCTATCCATCTTCTCTATTGAAATTTGAATGTTTTTTTTTTAATTTAAGTAGCCTCGTTTTGGTTTATGGAATCTAATGTAATGGTGGGGACGATCTTGAACATGTTCGCAGACTGCAGACTTCCCGGAGCGCCGGTGCTTCACGTCAGCTATATATTCCTTCACGCGGGTTTTTATAGATCTTTTCGTTTGACTTATGTAAGAGAGACCACATTCATCATCTAGCTTGTACACACTTGCACTTGTAATATTAGAGGAATATAACATTTGATGGATGGTAAAAATTGACTTATCTTCTTCGGCGGCTTGTAGTATGTTTTAATGGAAGCTCGCTTCAAGATGTAGCCAATCCTGTCTGTGACTCCTCTGACATAGTGTAGTACAAGCTAGATTGTGAATATGGTCTCTCTTACATAGGTCAAACGTAAGGATCTATAAAACCTGCGTGAAGGAACATATAGCTGAAGTGAAGCACTGGCGCTCCGGGAAGTCTGCAGTCTGCGACATGTTCAAGATCGTCCCCATCATTACATTAATAATAAGTGACAGTATAAAGAACACAGGTAGCTGCGGGTCCTAAACTAAGCGCAGCTTGTATCTCAGGACCCTGGCATGCGATACAAAATGGTTTGTCACTGGACCTCATTTACATCAAGATAGTGTTAATATTACTTGCTTGTCATCGGCCTTTAACGGTAATACTTCTAATACAAAAACTAAGGAAGTATTGTTTTACTACATAATAAATAAAATAAATAATAGCGCCTGCAAAAGATGATTCCGCAATAGTTGGGAGTGATGACGTCCGGGTCTGGTTTGTGTGCTGTGTGTGTGTGTGTGTGTGTGTGTGTGTGTGTGTGTGTGTGTGTGTGTGTGTCTGTGTGTATGTATGTTATATGCTATTTAATTAGCTCTTCATCATCGTTCATCATCATCATTACAGCCCTTCACAAGTCCACTGCTGAACATAGGCCTCCCCCAAGTAATGCCACAAAGCACGGTCCTGAGCCACCTGCATCCATCGACTTCCTGCATGTCTTACCAGGTCGTCACTCCATCTAGTGGGGGGTCGCCCTACACTACGCCTAACGGTACGAGGCTGCCACTCGAGAACCTTTCTTCCCCATCGGTTATCGGTTCTTCGAGCTATATGGCCGGCCCATTGCCACTTCAGCTTACTAATCCGTTGGGCTATGTCGGTCACTCTGGTTTTACTGCGGATATCCTCATTTCTGAGTCTATCACGCAGTGAAACTCCGAGCATAGCCCTCTCCATAGCTCGCTGAGCGACCTTGAGCGTCCTCATACGGCCAGCGGCGAAGGACCACGTCTCAGATCCGTAAGTCATCACTGGCAACACGCACTGGTTATAAATTCTAGTTTTCAGAGATTGAGGTATACCTGACGAGAAGATGTGTCGTAATTACCCGAACGCTGCCCAGCCGAGTTGAATCCGTCGATTGACCTCTCGGTCGAAGTTGGACTTACCTAGTCGGACTATTTGTCCCAGGTAAACGTACTCGTCAACAACTTCGAGCATAGTGCTCCCAATAACTACCGGCATAGGTGTGACATGGACATTAAACATGATCTTTGTTTTGTCCATGTTCATCTTAAGACCTGTCCGTTGGGAGACACCATTGAGGTCATTGAGCATAGTGCTAAGGTCCTCCAGCGATTCTGCCAATTTTCTCCAAAATTCTTCGTCGGCAAATCGAAGGTGAGTGATGTACTCGCCATTGATGTTATTACCGTATCCTTTCCAGTCCAGTAGCTTGAAAATGTCTTCCAACGCAGTGGTGAAGAGTTTCGGGGATATAACATCATCCTGTCTTTAACCTCTCTGCAGTTGGATAGGTTTCGTACTCTGGTTCTGTACTCGGATAGCCATCGTAGCCCTACTGTACAAACACTTCAGCATTTCAATATACCGACAGTCAACTAGGCACCGCTGAAGAGACTGTAGCACCGCCCAAATTTAGACGGAATCAAAGGATTTCTCATAGTCCACATACGCTAGGCAAACAGGCAGATTGTACTCTTCCGACTTCTGTACAATTTGACGAAGGGTATGTATGTGGTCTATGGTACTAAAGCCTTTTCGGAAACTGGCTTGTTCGGGAGGCTGGAAGTCGTCGAGTCTGCGTGCGAGACGATTCGTAATGACTCTCGAAAACAGCACGTAGACGCGGCTCAGAAGGGAAATCGGTCTGTAGTTTTTCAAGAGAGCGTTGTCGCCTCTCTTAAAGAACAAGACCACCGCGCTTCAGTGTCATTATATTCAGTGTAACAGATGAGATAATTATTAAGGTATAATTTTTGGAAAATTTAAAATATTCACGTTAAATGGACACGGTGGCTACTATCTGATTATATTTATGTGAATTACGATTGTTATCATTTTAAGTGATCATATCAGAATCTATAAAACAATTATATAGTGGTTACCGCAGCAAAACGTTTGTTGCACATATACGAGTACCACAAGCCTACAAACACATTATAAAAACTAAGTGTATTTTTTAAAATGTACGGTTCCAGAATTATATTAAAAGTGTGTCTTGCAATTTTGCTATTTTTTGAGGCAACATCTACAGATTTAAAGCCAAGCAATAATTTTTACAATTATGTAAGTATTACAAAAACGCTGTTGTTTCAATAGTTTTAAATTCTTTTTTAATTTAAAATGAAATAAAGTATTTCATTCTTTAAACGCAACATTTAAATAACAATGCTTTTAGAAACCATGCATTAGGTACTTATTTGAAAACTTTGGTGACAATCACTATCCTACAATCATATTGGGGTATTTTTAAAGAATAGGGATGGAAAGTTAGCATGCAGTCCATCTGCTGGTACGTGTACGATTAATTGATGTGTTGTCACCCCTGAAGACTTAAATGGAATGCCTTAATGATTTCTTATATTTACGCGAACACTACATCTTTAAATAATACTCATTTTTTACGAATTTTATCGCGTGTGTTTAACTCTTTAAATACCCGAGGTTTCGAGCACTTTACAACACACATGACCACGGGGGAGACTGAAATGTTTAACGTCTAGATGTAATCTATGGCAACCACGGTTAACTATGACAGTATTATTAAAATGGAATGTCTTATTTGCAGAAAATAGGGTATCCGTTTCTCTACACTCGCCTTGCAAAGCACAATAATTTTGTACTGCTCGTCTTCGAAATGCTTTTGGGAAGTAAATACCTCAATTGAGCACTGTAAAGTGTTGGTACGCTGTATTTGGTCGTGGCCATGTTTATTCACACGATGTAATTCGTGAAAATATGAGGTTTGATATTTATAGAGTCAGAAGAGGCCGTGGTAGTTTTCAACTGGCACGTGAAAAAAAATCAACTTAGACCAGTTTTCAAAAAGGGTTAGAACGAATCAAAAACTATTCAAATATTAGAGAATGATTTGAAAAGCAGTACATAATTCACATACAAATTGTTTAAATTTATGAGTTACGCAAAACTTTAAGTGTATCTCACGTAAAATAAAGTTGTGAAAAAACAATTCCGTGTTTGAAACTTTTACCTTTGAAGATACAGACAGAAATATTAAAATTGAATAGAATTAACAGTTAATGAATTAATGAAGTTACTGAAAAACAATATGTAAAAGTGCTTATCTTTACTGCAATTTATGAGGACATGGTGCTAAGAATCGAGACACTTCGAATATTATGTAATATAGGTACTAAATCGTATGTGCCTAAATTTGTCAAATGATTAAGCCTCGTTTTCAGTGAAAAGATTCTCTGTTTCTTTTCACTTAACGTACAAAACATAGCAGCATTAATCTGCTCTTATATGCTGGTACGAGTGTACTAGCGTAGTGTTTTCCCGGGCGAGCCGACTCCTTACTACAAATACATTAATTTTGTAGTATTAATTTTAACTAACTACTTGTTTCATAAGGCACCGGAAACGTGCAATAATTTACGGAAAATTAGATATTATTTTTAGTTGAACAATTTAGCATATCTAAAACATTCCTTATACACCTATTATTATAGATGTATAGATGGAGAACATTTAGTGACAGATGAGATATAATTAGGGACATGGGCTACTATCTGATTATATTTATGTGAATTACAATTATCATCATCTCAAGTGATCATATCAGAATCCATGAAAAAAATATAGAGTGATTACCTCAGCAAAAAGTCGTCTATTCGCTTTTTGCATTTATACTAGTACCACAAGCCTACAAACACATTATTAATAAATACTAAGTATATTTTATTAAATGCACGGTTCTAGAACCATATTAAAATTGTGTCTTGCAATTTTGGTATTTTCTGAATCAAAATCTATAGATTTAAAGTTAAGTAATGATTTATACAAATATGTAAGTTTTACAAAAATTTTGTTGATTAAAATAGTGTTATTGTAAAAAAAAAATTATGTATTAATGTACTTTGGTCTTTCAAACAACATTTTAGATAGTTAGTTTGTAGAAACCATGCATTAGGTATTTACTCGAAAAGTTTAGCGACAATCACCATGTTACAATCATATTGGGAAAAAAACCGACACCACTGGTGACGAAACCGAAAAAGAAAAGCATTATCCTCCAACTCTGGAGCGCACGTCCTCATCACAATTGGTAAAATTCCGTCAGGCCCACTCGACTTGTGGATGTCCAGGGAGAGGAGTGCCTTGCGAACCGAGCGCTGTGTGAACCGCACCTCCGGCATGGAGCACTCACATCGCGGGATGGTTGGCGGCATACTCCCCCCAGTCATCGGGAGTCGAGTTGGACGCAAAGAAAGAGCCTAGCAGATCGGCTTTCTCCATTGCGGCATGGACCAGTGAGTCATCCTCCCTGTGCAGAGATGGAAGAGACGGCTAACAGAAATTCCTTTGGACAGCCTTGGCGAGAGACCAGAGTGCACAGGTTCCAGAAGTAAGGCAAATTAATTTCTCGCCAATTCTGCCTATGTGCTCTGGCTTTGCCTTGGCAATGACTCTTTTGAAGGACCTGGAAGTGGAATTATACTTCTTTTTTAGAGCGCTGGCGTTTACATCCCGGGACGTTGATGCGTCAGCCCAGACTTGGTAGCACTCCTGCTTATAGCATGATGCTATTTTACAGGAGTTACCAAACCATGGCTCAGATTTGCCTCCGATGTGCACCACAGAGAAAGGAATAAAAAGTTCCAAACCCTGAAGTACCACATCAGCGACAGAATCAGACACAACGTTGAGATCATTCGGCGAGAAGAAAACCCGCCCCCAAGGGTAGGATGCAAAGGAAGAACTCATCCTATCTCAATTAGCTGACCTATAGTGCCAAACACGGCGGCAGCCTGCAGAATGCCACCGCGATTTCAGCATGATTAGCACCACACTCCGGAAAAGACAATGGTCCGAGGAGAATAAAGAGGCGTCGACGGAAATCTGACATCCGTCCGGATGAGAGGTCAGCAGAAGGTCTAACAGGGAAGGTACATGATACTCCATATCGGGAATCCACGTAGGCAAAATAACCAGTTGTGACAGACCATATGCTATGGCAAAATCCTGAACAGATCTCCCCGCATGATCGGATGAACGTGAACCAAGCCATTCGGCGTGGTGGGCGTTAAAATTGCCGAAGATCACGATCCCTGCGAAGTGGATCTGCTGTAGTAACAAATCTGTAGCCATTTGGACGTGGTCAAAGAGTCGGTCTGTTTCGGCATTACCGCTATGGGACCTATAAAGGCACAAATGGACAGGTCCGAACCTTCAAGACTGCCGAGGCGTCGAGAACAGATGTCCTCTCTGACGTAAACACAAACTCCAGCCCGAGGCACAAAGGAGTGTTCCAGTTCGTACCCCGGGTAGGAGAGATACGAAGCATCAGCCGGAGAGGACACCTGCGTCTCGGTCAGAAAGAGCAGAGCCGGCCTCGCCGTCTCGAGATGGTAGTGGACGGCGTTTTGGTTAGAGTGAATTCCCTTAATTTTGCAGAAATTTACGGATAGCGTGACAGGGGTCGCCTTGGTGTTGTTGCCCCGTTTGCCCCAAACAGTTGTAAACTTAAGCAGATTATTGACCCCCTCCAGAATACGCGGGGCAGCCTGAGCACTCACGCTCAGGAGTGGAGTAACTTAGTCGTGAATTCACCAAGGGTGCTGGTACCCTCCTGGGATAGATCTTCACTTAATTCCGCTACCATGTTAAGAATTCGAGCCGGCCCCTACGTGCTACAGGAAAACTGCCGCGTGGCTCTACTACTGTTCAGTTTGGGTCTGTCATGAAGGCGAACGGCTGGAATAAAAGTCAGGCCATGACTGCTCTCACCCTAGGCTTTAACTGTTTTGGAAGCTCTCTGTAAGGAAATGATTTACGAACAGCTCCTTGAGGCATTGGAGGCAAGATATATCGACGATCACCTGAAACACGTCTTTCGTGTGCAGTTAAAAGATCGCGTGTAACACAGCAACGAAAACCTGCAACAGTGGGCCCTTGAAGTGGAGAAACTGGTTCGAAAAGCATACCCGTCTGTACTTGGACTCATTGCAAGAAACCTGGTGCAGACGTTCATCGACGGCATCCGTGACCTTTAAGTCAGAGCTGCTGTAAGGCTCGGGCACTAAGAGATGCTTAAGGATGTCTTGGCCCATGCATTGGAGGTGGAAGCGTTGCGGCATGATCATCGTTCCCATCACATCAGGGAGGTTGCAGCAGCTATATTTCACGACCACAATAAAGGATGCAGCCCTAGGTGCTACGGCTGTGGTAAAGGGGCCTTCTTTGATCCAGCTACCCTAAGCGAACTGTAGACAGGGAAGGTGATTGATCTCGAGAGGGTTTTGCGGCGGAAGCAGAAATTCGACTTGGTGATCGAACATCGCAGCGAGAAATCTCATGACAACGCAGAAAAACTGTTATGAAGGCTTTGTCCTGAAGATTAGAAACATTGTACTAAGCAATGGTGTAAGGAAATGGTATCTGAGGATTCTCATAATAGACAATCTTAGCATTACACCACCACAACGACAAGTAGGAACGATAGTCTACAATATTCACAGCAGAAAGATTCGGACATTAAGTCGATTCTGGATTGGATAAAGGCCAGTGTTCCCAAGCTAAAATGGTGCGACATCTCAGATGTTTGACCACGAAAAGCTATTGGACTTAATGGAACAGCGTGCTGATTCAGGAAAAAGTCCTGAGTCGTAAATGGAAAAATGCCAGGGTAACCACTGTCATTTGCAAATTGCTGTCTCTAAAGCTAAAGTACCGGATTTCTACAGCTGTGCCATAATGGTTGTTCAGGATACCAACTGGGAGTTAAACGAACTCTATTGAAGATTTGAGAACGGTTTTCGGGGTCCACTGTCGTGACGGTGTCGAAGACTGGTGTCACAAATGTACAAGTTGTGCGTACAGCCGCACAACTTGTACAATGGACCCCAGACTCGTAGTAGAAAAGCATTGAAATTGTACGATGTTGGTGCACCATAGGAGAGGATAGCCCTTGACGTGGCGGGGCCGTTTCTGCAAAGAGAAAGTGGTAACAAGTACTTCACGATTGTGAACTTTTACTTCACTAAGTGGCCAGAAGTCTTGGCCATTCAAAATCAAGAAGCTTTAGCAGTTGCAGATAAACTAGTTTATGAGGTCTTCTGTCGTTATCGAGTACCTTTAGAGATTCATAGTGATCAAGGAAGGTATTTTGAGTTTCAAATGTTCCGGAAAAGAAGAACAACTTCTCACCACCCATAATCTATAGCAGAGTTCCCCAAACTTTTTTGGTCGTAGACCCCTTGCCATGTTTTTCCGTGTTGGGTAGACCCCCTACTTACCTGATATCCTGTAAATTTCTAACTGTAGTGAAGTTTAGCGTTAAACACATGTTAATTTATACATTTATTAATTGAATTTAAATTACTACTCAAAATAAAATTTTGTATCTGTTATGTAAAATATACGTAACATTAAATAAACATAAAATAAACTATAAATAAAATAACATAAGCAATAAGTCAATATTTTTAGTGAGAAGGATGAACCTGATGCTTTAATAATAAATTATCAACATTTGGCTTCAATTTTGTAAGGGTTAATCTTAAATCTCCTCGGCTAATGATGCCCAGTCTGTTTTTTTTTCGTTAGGAAATTGGTAACAGCGCTGAACCCCCTTTCCACTAGGTATGACGATGGAAAGGAAATTAAAAATTTCCTCGCTATATTCCATAATACGGGATAAGTAACGGGTATGTTGTTTTGCAGCCAGAATTGCTGATATCCGTTTTTAAACTGAACCTTAAGTTCTTCGTTTGTACTTAGTTCACTCAGTTCCTCTTGTGTTATGACATCCGTTTCTTCTTTGTCACCATTTGGATTAATTATCCACGATGGTATCACCATAGTCAAAATATGCTCAAACCTAGATTCAAATCTGAATAAAGGGCATTTAAATGTTGAACGTAAGTTGAAACGTCGTCTTCCTGGCAGCTTGTCTGTGACAAATTGGAGAACTAAGAAAATTCGCCCCGTTCAATATTTTGCTTCTTTAGTTTAACTCTGGCAAGAAACACTGATAAGATGGACTTTGTTTTAATTAAATTTAAGCTGTCGCCATGTAATTGCAAATTAACCATATTAAATTTTGTTAACAAATTTGTTAAATAGGCGATGTCTGTTTTCCTCTTCATTAAATTTTCTTTTAAAATTTTATCTTTAGTATCCAGAAATTCTAAAATAGTCTCAAAAAGTGCAAAAAATCTTGTCAAACATAAGCCTTTCGACAGCCAGCGTACTTCAGTGTGAAGGAGTAATTGATGAAAGTGTTCGTCATTTTCTTCACACAACTGCGCAAATAACCGCGTATTCAACGCGTTGCTTCGGATTAGGTTTTGAAATGAAGTGATTCATGCAATCTAACACTCAAATTTTTAGTAACTAAATGTTGTCGATGGATGACGCAATGTATTGCTAACACCCCTGACACATTTTGTTTTAAATAGCTTATAAATCAACGATAACGTCCAAACATGGCAAGTGCTCCATCTGTAGCTACTGATATTATATTTGATAAAGAAATTGCTTTTTCAATGAAGTAATCCTTCAAAACATGAAATATTGATTCACTTTTAGTGTCGGTCAAAGTTCTTGCGAAGCGCAGTTCTTCGTTGATTTCTTGATTCATAATAAAACGAACATATGCCAATAATAATGCTGCATTATCAGGTAAAGTTGACTCGTCCAGTTGACCAGTCCTATAGAGAAATGGGTCGTTTGCAAATAATTACATAAGAAGCTTTCAATATCAGAACTCATTTCATCAATACGTCTTTCAACAGTATTGTTGCTTAAAGGAATTTTTTTAATGATATCAGATAGCAGGTTTGTGTAAAACAGTTTTTAAATCCTCTTCAATGGCTGGCAAAATTAACTTCTCTCCGATAGTATGCGGTTTTCCGGATTTTGCTATAAGTAACGAGATATTGTAAGACGCCCGCAAACCATCATCATTTCTTTGTGACGTCGAAGCGAACATTCTGTCCAGTGTAGGTCTCTTCTGAAGTTTATCTTTGAGTGTTTGAAAGTATTTCAAATCTTTCTCTGTTTATCAGGGTGGCATCTTCTCAGATGATCTTGCAGTTTAGATGGTTTCATAGCGTCATTGCTCAAAACTTTGTTGCATAAAAGGCACATAGGCGATTGTTTGTCCGGAAATGATGGAATGAAGCCAAATTTCAAATAGTCAACACTGTACTGTCTATATTTCCTTTTAGATTCGGACATTTTTTACACAAATTATTTAAATAAGACAGAAAATCCAGCAGCTGTATATTAAAAATATTTTTTGATTTTTCCGAAAACATTCCATAATTCGAACATCTTCTTGTAACAATTAGCTCGAATTACGGAGATTGCACTGTAATTATAATACCGATTGCTAAAACTTTCAAAAATGAACTATTGAGGAGTACTCGTATAATTTTGCATGATTGAATATTAAACTACTAATAACTAAAGTCATGATTGGCGTAATTTATCCACCTTTGCTGACTACGAGTACAAAACTAAAATTTAATAAAAAATAATGTACTTACTTTTCTCCAGCACTCTCAACAAAATAACACTGACTCACTATGATTTGTGTGATATACTATCTGTTTATATTTTTTAAAATATTTTGTTAGCACTTTCCTTTTCAAGATTCAGGAAACGAATAAAGGTATTTGTCCCACATTCGTATTTATAGAGTGACGAATTGAACAAATCAGTGCAAGGTAGCGAAGCTCTGAGACTGCGACTCTCAGGTTTTTACAAGTTCAAAATGTATTGCGACCACAAAGCGATTATCAACATCCTACAACTTACACAATTTTGTAAACATATATAATATTTCTTTTAATTCATAGGTACTTTTATAAATAATGTATATGTTTTGATATTATAAGATAGTATGATGTAAGTAAATAGGTACTATCAGTGTATGTGTTGAGATCCACTATCGTGGACCTCCATTTTCATTTTATGGACCCCCAATTTTTTTTTCGCTGACGTAGACTTGACCCTTGCAGGTTGTCATAGACCCCTAGGGGTCAATATAGACCACTTTGGGAATCACTTATCTATAGGAATGGCGGAACGATTTAATCAGAAATTTAAGAGGTACATAGCTCCTTAGTGGAAAATCGGCAACGAGATTGGGACAAGCACATACAACCGTTTTTATTGTCATATCAAAGCGCTTTTCACGAAAGTACCACCAGTAACACCAGTTTTCGCAAACTTTGGAAGAAAATTACATCTTCCTGCAGACGTGATCACCAAAATACGACTTGATGCCCAACGCAGTATAACCTATTATACAAATAACTTGCCGAACAAAATGAATGACATTTACGAGCACGTCAGACAATTGTGCCAGCAAACGCCTGAAAAGATGAAAACCGCAAAATGAACAACAAAGGGTTCGACGAAGGGTCAACAGCGTGCTTGCACAATTCTGTTCTCAGCAGAGGGAAATCTTGTAAGCTTCAAGCTAAGTGGGACGGACCGTACCGGATTGTGACAAGGATTAATGACGTAACCTACCGGATACAGAAAGATTCAAGATGTAGTCCGAAGATCGTCCATATGGATCGACTGGCGCGTTATTATGGGGCCGATAATGCTCAGGATGAGCACGTCTTAGGAGGGGGCAGTTTTGCGTGTCGTAATTAATGCCTAGTACGTGGAGACACTAGTTACTCTAGTATCGAGTAGCAGAATTAGGAAAGCCAAAATCTTTCTAGAGATTCCCATGCCAGAACTTTCTACACCTAGTCAGTCGGGACCGGTATGTACTCGAACATTCTAGATGTTTCAGTAAAAGAGGCCCTGTATAATGCCGATATCGACCGCGACAAGGGTCAGTATTGAATTAGCTATGCAAGCAAATACTTCGAAGAGAGGTTACTGCGAACTAAAGTGATCAGTAGTACAATTGTGTTGTAATTTTAGTGTGTTTTAAGTTGTAATTGGTGTTCGGAAATTAAAGTTTCAATTTTGGTAATTCAAGTTCGTTACATTAGTATCATAATCTTTAACGATTGTACTTATAACGTAACAACAGGCATATCAGCATCGTCATCATTACAGCCCATCACAATTCAAACAAAGGCCTAAACAAAGGCCTTCTGGCCTTTGTTTAGCAGTGGAACCTTGGATGTGTTGTGCACCATGGAGTGGACCTTGTGGCGTTTTTGGATAACCAAAAAACGCCACAAGGCACGGACATGAGCCATCTGCATCCATCGACTTATTGTATCTTTTACCAGGTCACGTTTTTACAGGGTCCCTATGATTTAGTGTGCCGTAGCTACGAAGTCTGTATTGATGCAAAAGTAACGAACCTTATATCTTACTCTACGAAACTTTTAAAGGAAGGTAACAATTACGTTGCTTGGTTGAATTGCACGTTTTTTGCACAAACACGAATTGATGAGGTAAGTGTGGAAATCAAATATCATCATTATATATTACAATGACGGCGTAACTCAGTATTATTCATGTCCTTAGATTGAACTCAGAGAATATAAGGTATATCTTGTGTCTTCTTAAAAGAGAAAGTGAAAATAAATATAAATATGTATATACAGGAAGCCTTCCCACAAGTGTTTCACACAAATAATTGACTGATATCACAATATATCCTGTGACGCTTGATGGTTTCGAACAAAGCGGAAGTTTTAAAAAAATCAAAGCCTATAAAATGTGTAGATAATATAACCATGTCTATTTTTTCACAGCCTGCCTATTTTTCTTACCGTAGTAACTGTTGTTAATTTTGTTGTCACAGATAAAAATCAAAGTTTACACGACAACGGATAACCGTACTAGATTGTTAATGAACTACGAACTGAACAATCCGTGTCAACATTACGCTGTTGCCAGTATTATTGAAAATTATTTGAACGCTAAAAATTGTATTATAAAGCAGGTATGCACCTACGTATCTATCTGTATTTAAGCAAGTGAGTTTTTTTACAGTATCTCATAAAAAGGAGGTAAAATAAAGTATTTTATCAATTCCTAATTTCCTTTTTCCTAATTACTGATTTTATTTTTGTTTTCCATCATATACACGTGAGTCGTACGTAAGTGCTCGTATTATATTAGGTGGCTCATATATGAAGTTGACGCCTAATCTGTGTTTGTTTTATATAGTCTGGAATTGACGGACCAAATCCCATGAGGTTTAATCTTCAAAAACAATAACTTTAATGGTATCCCAATCTATATGAACTCGCACTGGCCACACTATATACCTCAGGAAGTATCTCAAACACCTCAGGAATACCTCAGGAGTGGAAATAAATTCCAAATGATATGTCATTGTGAATTTATTTGTGACGTGTCATAGTGAAGTTATTTCCACTAGAATTAGGAAAAAATAATTAAAATGCAAGTAAGCCCTAAGGGTGGGTATTGATATACAGCAGGGTAGTGTTGTACAAAAACGGTCTTGGAGTGACCTGAAAGGTCCACACGACTAACTTCCCAGTGGAAAGAATAAAAAAGTAAATAAACAAATATTTGATACAATTTTTCATTGGGCACAAAAACGACTTGACAGATTCTGCTCAAAATTTAGTGAGGTCTAAGTTACATAATTATGCGTTAAATGAAATTGGTCCCATGTCAATATCACTTTTTGTTCTCCAAATACACGAGGCAAAAACTGAATCCGAACATATATATATATATAAATACGTACATGTGCACACACGGTCATCCTCTTAAAAACCATACTAGTAGACTCTAAGGACCTTGAAACGTGAAGACATGTTAAAATTTCCAACTTGCAAAATCGGACCCATTACAATAACTTCCCACTGGGAAGTTAATAATTATAATTGTTGACGCCTCCTCTGTTACATGAGACGTTTAAAGATTTGATTGCTTCATTTTAATTACTTACTGTCATAAATTATCATAATTAAAATTTAAACCAAAACAAAAATATTGAATTAAAATATATAAATATATACGAATTTATCGCGTTTAATTTAATTATGTCAACTTATTTTTAATTACCGACGTTGCGAGTTATTGAGTTATACAGAAATAGAGAAGCAAACCGCGCGTCGCAAAAAGTGGAACCGCTATCAAACCGCGACGACGTAGCTTGGAAATTACTAAACATGTTAAATAAACATATATCTGTCTCACTTACACAAGTTGCGATAACAATACCACATATAGTGTAATAGACACACCAAACGCAATGGCGGTCGTTGGCAAATCGAAGGTGAGTGATGTACTGGCCATTGATGTTAATACCGTATCCTTTCCAGTCCAGTAGCTTGAAAACGTCTTCCAACGCAGCGGTGAAGAGTTTCGGGGATATAACATCACCCTGTCTTACACCTATCTGCAGTTGGATAGTTTTCGAACTCTGGTTCTGTACTCGGATAGCCATCGTAGCCCTACTGTACAAACATTTCAGCACTTCGATATACCGACAGTCAACTTGGCACCGCTGAGGGGACTATAGCATCGCCCAAATTTCGACGGAATCAAAGGCTTTCTCATAGTCCACATACGCCAGGCAAAGTGGCAGATTGTACTCTTCGATCTTCTGTACAATCTGCCGCAGGGTATGTATGTGGTCTATGGTACTGAAGCGTTTTCGGAAACCGGCTTGTTCGGGAGGCTGGAAGTCGTCGAGTCTGCGTGCGAGACGATTCGTAATGACTCTCGAAAACAGCACGTAGACGCGGCTCAGAAGGGAAATCGGTCTGTAGTTCTTCAAGAGAGCGTTGTCGCCTTTCTTAAAGAACAAGACCACCGCACTTCTGCTCCACGCCTCCGGAGTAGTGCCACCATGGAGGACGGAATTGAAGAGCTTCTGAAGGACTTCAAGTACCGGTGTTCCACCCGCTTTCAGAAGCTCCGCTGTAATTCCATCCTCGCCTGGGGCCCTGCAGTTTTTAAGGTGCTGGAGAGCCATTCTAATCTCGCTCAGACTGACGTCCGGGTAAATCGCAATAGTCCGGCTCAACTCTGTCGGCGTCACATTGAACACTGAACTGACGTCGGTTAAGCCGATGTGCAGTGGCAACGCTTTGGCGCGGTAATTACTAATCTAGAGTAATACATAAATCAATATTCCGTGTGCTTTACAGCACCCATGGTCACGAGGGAGGGACTTAGATGTTCGTTCCAATGTAGTTAGCCCGGCTACCTTCAGTTTTTGAATATTAATTTTGGTCCGATCTACGCATAACGAGATTACAGTATCTTGGAGTCTGCTGGTATGCTTTGATTTGGTTTGGTTTATTTCGTTAATATAGGATCCCTAGCAGATGGCAGCACCCGTCATCTTCTCTATTGGAATTAGGATATTTTTGGATTGCAATAGCCTCGTGTTTCATTTTTCATAGGAATCGGTTTTGTTTTGTGAGGATTTGTGGTTTATCAAATCTGATGTAATTGTAGGGACGATCTTGAACGTGTGCACAGACTGCAGACTTCCCGGAGCGTCAGTACTTCACGTCAGCTATAATACATAAACTTTACAAGATATTTTTTCATGATATGTCTCTTGTTGTGGTTATTACATGTCACCCATATGGTTTATGAACGATATACAAATTTTATCTATGGGGATCATAACATAACGAATTGATCTAAAGTAATAATTAAAGTAGTACCAGCCTATTGTTTAAAAAAAATGATTGTGCTGTTAAATATGTGTATTAAAATATGTTAAAGTGTTTTGTTTTTCTTAAGGCCCATATAGTTTTTTGACTAAATAACAACACACCACGTAACAGAAAGGATTACCATTTTATAAGCACCACCTGTTATTGGAATGCTTGAAACCTGTATATGATTTTTCAGGTCGAATTTAGATTCAAAATTATTCTTTTCATTCTGGAGAAAGTAGATAATAAAATCAAAATATTTTGTATACATTTAGACAGCAGGACAAACAGATATTAATTTGTCTATTAAATTAGCCCATGTCCTATATCATTGTAGTGGATTGTAATTAAATAATTGATTTTACATTCATGAGAAATATTTGTGTTTTTTTTTTAGGGTATGAAAATACTATAATTTTTATTAGTTAAGACCAAGCAAATTTAATTTATTTTCAGGATTTTTTTTCTAATTTACTTTATAATCCAACTAACAGCAATTCTAGAACTTTCTAATTTTTATTTTCTGAATCTCATCATCTATGTATTTATCATATTATGGTATTTATCTGTAAGTAAAAACGAAATTAAGACTAGTCTTGTTTTAATTAATTTTACAGCTGTATTAAATACGGATATGCTTGAATCACACTCTAATATACTGGTGTCGACCCACTACATATGAGAGAGTTTTTTTAGTATATAATTTTTAGATCATTTGAAATAAACTAAGGTTAAGTAAATTTGCTTACCCTTTAGCTGTGTTTACTTCTATTATTTTTTCCTCAATAGTTGGGCTTGGTGTATGCCACATATTACTTGGTAATATCTTTTCTGCTGGTATAGAGCAACTGCTGGAGGCTATTGCATACCTAGTGATTTGTTACTGATGGAGACAGGTCCCAATATTTTAAAGGTTTCTACAAGTTGCTTTTAGATTTATGAAGATCCATTGTTCTCTTTAAGACAAAGTTTTCTGCCTATAAGAAGTCACTTAAGTTTCCTTAAGCGCTTTCTTTATAATCATTGGTTAGCTCTGATAGCGGTAATGCTGTTCGCATTACTGCTAGCGAGCGAGCGAGATTAAAGGAGGTTCTAAATTTTATCAGCCACGTAACAGCCTAATGCAGTTATGATTAAATAGAATCGGTTGTTACTTCGTGAAAATCCATTATATTAAAGTTGGTAAGAATTATCTCCCACATATCCGCCCAATAAAATAAAATGATGAGTCTTACCTAGTTTGAAGAGCACCTCCCACCCTCCTTCAATTGCGTGCACTACTCTCAACACCACTACACTAGGAAAGACACAACATCGATACGTGTTTTTCCACTACACGAGGAATCCTCAGGTGACGTAGATTCTACGGTGACTGACCGCTAAGTGAGCGGCAAGTCAAAACAGCTGCCATTTATACTATGAAATTATGTATATTTTGGTAGTAAATATGAACGTATGAATATTCATATAATATGAAATTCAATGTCACGCGTGACGAGGTCGCCCGGTGCCCAACCCTTTCCCCCTGCGTCTCAGGCGGTGTTTAGTGGGTTGGCACTCTAGGTTTATAGTGAAGCCCACATAACCACGCAACTGGCTGCATGGTATGCTTAGAGCATTCACCATCTCCATCCCCCGATTCCCGGAGGGTAGCCCTTTACTTGCTTCTGGGCGCAAAAAAATAAATAAAAATAAAAACTCGCCGCTCACTAAGCGGTCAGCCACCGTGGAGTCTACATCACCTGAGGATACCTCGTGTAGAGGCGATTCACATGTCATATTATTGTCGATAATGTGTCTTTCCTAGTATTGGTGTATCGGTGTTGGGAGTAGTGTTGCCGGAATTAGTGGTGACAGGATTAGTGGTCACAGGATTAGTGAACGCAATTGAGGGACCCTCCCTGGAAGGTGCTCTTTAAACTAGATAAAATACATCATTTTTTTATTGAGTGGATGTGTGCGAGGTAATTCTTACCAACTTCAATATAATGGATTTCCGCAAAGTGACAAATGATTCTATTAATTATCTTAAAAAGGCTAACACGGCCGACCAGGCAAGACTCTATGTCAAATTAACAAAACTACATCGTATTCCTGTCCAAAATGTTGGTTCAATCAGCAGTGTAAACAAGTTTATGTCATTCCCAATTATATTCAAATACATTCTGGTACAAATAGTCAAGCGGCCAATGTTGCCATTTCCAAAGATCAGAACATTCCGCTTAATGAGGAGGTCGTTGTTGGTTTTCCAATAGAGATAATTAGAAAACCCACCTTAAAGTATTATATT